CAGACAATAAACCAACAAGTGAAGTGTGTGCTATCTCAGGCGATAATAAAGGGGACAGGGAAAGAGTAAACAGTGAGGGGGATGGGCGTAACAATGCTAGTGGAGAGTTAATTTTAAATAAGGTGGCTAGTGGGCGACCTCACTGAGAAGGTGACAATTGAGCAGAGACCTGCAGGAGGGGAGGAATAGAGCCCAGCTGTTGTCTGGGGGAAGAACGTTGCACAGAGAGCAGCCCGTGCAAAGGCCCTGGGGCCTCTTCAGCAGGCTGAGGAACAGCACGTGTGGCCAGAGTGGAAGTAGAGAGGGATGATGGGGTCTGAGGGTAGATGTCGGGAATCGTGTTTGTGATGTCCATGGTGACGTGGTGGCTTACCCAGGGCCATTTCTAGTAGCAGGGCCAGGATTTAAGCTGGAACTCTGGAGCTCTCTTTTCCAGCTGGATCAGACTGTAAGAGACACTTTCTCCTCTGCATGGGCCCTGTCCTAGAACCACATCCTCACCTGAGCCTGTGACTCACCCGTGCTCGGCTGATGTTTGTGGGAGGGTAGGTGGTGACATATAAGTGGAGGAGGTCTGCTGGACTCAAACCATGTCCAAGTGGCCTAGCTGAGCGTACTTCCTCTTGGCTCTCTCTGAGTTGGCAACAACATGGTGGTCCTGGTCCTGATCGTCCTCGCGGCAGCCTGTGTGTTAGTGTTGGGGGTCGGGCTGTGGGTAGTTTGCAGCCATTTTTTCACTACAGACATCCCTGCAGCCATCAGCCACCCTGTGAAACTGAGGGTCCTCCACTGCTTGTTCCAGCTGTTGGTGACATGGGTGAGCCTTACTTGTTTCTACCTCCTGAGGGGTAAGGAGAATGGTTGGGACAAACCAGAAGCTTCTAGTCCAATTAACACTGATATCACGAGGCCTGTGGCGGAGGCCGATAGCACATTCTCAAACCTGAATAATCCCCAGTAGGTAGTTCTCAGCCTCTCCCAGTGTTTCTGAAGCTGGTCTGGGCTAATATCCACAAAATGCAAAGCATGTCTTGCTTTCTCAGTTAGCAGCAGCAGAAGAAAAGAGCCCAGTTCTGTCCCCCTGCCCTGACTGCTGTCTTGCTTTCTGCATGGCCCTCACCACTCTGAAGATGTGAATACAGAAAGGAATTTTTCTGAATCTTTGGGCCCCAAGTACTACCTACCTGCTGGCTAGAGTCTCCAAACCGCAAAATAAAGAGAGAGGTAGCAAATTAGTCAATTAGAGCTGAATGAGCAAATCTATAAAATATGACTTAAAAAAACATTTGGGGGCTTTTGAGAGATGGAAAACTGTTTCTGTAGTGTAGTCAGATTCTCTTCCCTGTTCCTGGTGCATGTAATTTATTACAAGACACGTAAATCACGGTGATAATTGTGTTGCCAATATGAAGGTGCTGTACTTTTGCAAAGGGGTGAGGAAAATTGAATACAGAAAACATTTTTCTTGTTTCTTAATGTAACGAAAAGTGATAACAAGAGCATCTTCTCATGAGAAGCACTCGATGGTGGAGAACCCAGGGGCCAGAGCTACAGCTTCTCACCTCTAGGGATTGCTTTTACCCCAGGAGCCTGATTGTAGAGGCTGGGGTGT